CATAATTTTAGCTAAAAACCCTCAGTTTGCTGCTTGCTTTGCCTCCTTCAGAAATCAAGAGAGAATTCCCACTCCACTTTGGGGATGACACCACATGTGGAAATCCCTAGTTCTCCTTCATAACAACGTGGAAATGTAATTTCTCCCACAGAACAATGTGAAAATCCATATTTCTCCCTCAGAACAAGGTGGAAATACATATTTCTCCTTCAGAACAAGGTGGAAATGCATGTTTCTCCTTCAGAACAAGGTGGAAGTGCAATTTCTCCTTCAGAACAAGGTGGAAATGCAATTTCTCCCTTAGAACAAGGTGGAAATCCATATTTCTCCCTCAGAACAAGGTGGAAATCCATATTTCTCCCTCAGAAAAAAATGGAAATGCACTTTCTCCTACAGAACAACGTGGAAATCCCTATTTCTCCTTCATAACAACGTGGAAAGCCAATTTCTCCCTCAGAACAATATGGAAATCCATACTTCTCCCTCAGAACAGTTTGGAAATCCGTATTTCTCCTTCAGAACAATGTGGAAATCCATATTTCTCCCTCAGAAAAAAAATGGAAATGCAATTCCTCCCTCAGAACAAGGTGGAAATGCAATTTCTCCCACAGAGCAAGGTGGAAATCCATATTTCTCCTTCAGAACAAGGTAGAAATGCAGAGTGAGCAGTCCCAGACTTACCCTGGGGATGTACCTGGTGCTGCTGGGCAGATCCCAGCTGGCTGTGTCGTGTCACCCTGTGTGTGCCATGTCACCCTGGCTGTGCCATGTCACCCTGGCTGCGCCGTGTCACCCTGACTGCTCTGTGTCACCCTGGCTGTGCCATGTCACCCTGGCTACTCCGTGTCACCCTGGCTGCGCCGTGTCACCCTGGCTGTGCCGTGTCACCCTGGCTGTTCCGTGTCACCCTGGCTGTTCCGTGTCACCCTGGCTGTGCCATGTCACCCTGGCTGCGCCGTGTCACCCTGGCTGTTCCGTGTCACCCTGGCTGTGCCATGTCACCCTGGCTGTGCCATGTCACCCTGGCTGTGCCATCTTTCCCTGGCTGTTCCGTGTCACCCTGGCTGTTCCGTGTCACCCTGGCTGCTCCGTGTCACCCTGGCTGTGCCATCTTTCCCTGGCTGCTCCGTGTCACCCTGGCTGTGCCGTGTCACCCTGGCTGTGCCGTGTCACCCTGGCAGTGCCCGTGCTGTCCATTTTTCCCCGAGGAAGCAGCCCTGACTCAGGCAGGGAGTGTGGCCGGTGAGGAACCTGCTGCTGCTCACACTTTGCTGACTCCAGCTCCATCTCTTCCACCTCTTTTTTCCCTCAGCTTTAACCAGTTCCTCGCTGGCTGCTGATAAAACTCAGCCAGATCATCCTACCCTCAACTAATTCCCTTAAAACACAAAAATCCCACACTGTTAATTTTTCACCTGCTGTGCCAACTCCTCGCTCACAATTCCACATCCTTGTATTAACACCAATCATTTTACAAGTGAGAAAGGAATTCCAAAGTATCCCAGGAGTGTTTTTTTCTAGACATGGACACACCAAAAGCAGTGATATTCCCTCAGCACAACACGTGCCTGAGCAGCACCAAGCCACAATTACCGAACAAGTTAAAAAAACCCCTAATTTTTTAACAATAGTTCATGTTTTCTACTTCAAACCAAATTTTAGCCACTTCCATTTAGCCTTGTCAAGGTGCCACTGTTCATTCCAACTCCTTCTCCTTCCCATTATTTTGCAGAAAATTCCAGCTTTATTCAAGGGGAACAAGTCTCACTTTTAGAGTTCTTAGTGTCCATGCAAGGAGCTAGATTAAAAAAAAAATCCCTAAATCAGGGATTTGACACAAAAATGATGTATCAGCTGGTTTTCTTAAATCCTCTGACTCACAGAACTCCTTGTTTCAGTTTTATTCCTTAGTTTTGTAGGGAAAGTCAAGCAAGAATGGATTCTTCCACAGGAAAACCAGCACCCTGTGTTTGCTCTAAGCTACCTCAGATGTTTACAGCAGCTACAGTTATTGATAGCTTTATTTATTTATTTAAAAAGCAGCAGGGGAAAAAACACCAAAAAACCACTTTTCAAACCCATTTCAGCTCAGCAAATGCTCCAGGCTGGGTACAGAGTGCTGTTATTTTTGGAGAGGTTCATCCCAAATGACCCCAAAGCAAGATGTTTTCCTGGAAACCAGAGAACAGCATGAATGGTGAAAAGAAAAGATGGCATTTGAGGCAGCCCCAGGTGCTGTTTGTAAGATCAGGAATTCCACCTCAGCCAGGTTTTCAGCTGGTGGGAACAAGCCTGGTTTGTTAAATTTGGAACCTCTGCATCAGGGAGCAGTCCCACCAAAGCTGAGCTGGCTTCAGGATTTGAGAAGGGGTAGGTCACAGCTCCTGGAGCCAATGTACACCGACGTTTTGGTTTTTCACATCAAAGTGCTCCATTTAACAGGTAGCAGAGTAAAGGTACCCACTGTTCCTGCTCAGGAATTATTAAATTTATTCATTATTAATGGTACTCAGGTCCTATTAATGCCCTGAAAGGTGTTTTGTACACCAAATGCTATAAACATCCCCTGATATTGGCTGATTTACTCCCTTTTGGGACTGGAGCCTCTTAGTGGAAGAAAGAACTTTTCTCACAATAAAAATATCAGAACAACTGTTTTGGTTTTTTTTTTTAGAGAAATCCTCCAGCAGCAAAACGAGGAGGCATCACCCCTGTCCTCTCCCTCTGATGTCAAAAAACCCAAAACAAAACCAACCAACCAACAAAACCAAACCCCAAGCAAACAAAAACCTCACAAACAACAACAAACAAAACCCCAAATACAAAAAAACCACACACAAAAAAAAAAAAAAAAAAAAAACCAAAAAAAAACCCCAAAACATGCTCCAAAAAAACAGGTTTTAGGCATACCAGCTATCAGAAGCCAATACAACAGAAGAATATTTCTCATTATTTCTCTTTTTCTTGCTCCAGCTGTGTGCAGCCAGGGACATCCCACAGCCTGTTCACAAGAAAACACTGGCAATAAAAAATCATCCTTGAAAACATTGGGAATAAATCCTTCAGTCTGCACCACACACTTTAGGATTTCAGGATTCTCAAACCTTTTGCCTGCCTACAAGCAGCCTCAAATCAGGGTTTTCCTCCTGGTGCCTTTACAAGCTCCTGGTTTGAATCTGGTCCCTGGAGCAGGAGAAGCCCATGAGGAACCCAGAGTGGAACTGAATTATGTGAAGTGAGCCAAAACTAAAGGAGACAACACCCAAAAATATTCCTGTGCAGAAGTGGAGTGGCTGCCCAGGAGCTGAAATCTCTTCTGCACAGCCCAAACCATCACAGGCTTAAAAGTCAGGCAGCAATTGTTGATCTGCTGCAATTTATACACAATTTAAATGTTTCTACTTCCCACCCATTTGGGTTTCATTGCTTGTTTCCTGATCTGCAGTGGAATAGAGGTTGCTGTTTTATAAAAAATTTGAATTAATTTTATATTCCCCAGCAGTACCATAAATCATCCTGCTTCTGCTTTAATCCTAAAAATCTCCTGTTCATTTCCAACACATCATCTCTACCACCATGGAGCACCCAGAAATTTTATAGTTATATAAAGTACCGGAAATTGATGCAGACTTTTAGGAAAAAGCTGCAGGAAGAAGTTATTTCCCATTTTTCCCTTTCCCATATACAATCAGGCCTGATTCTCCGCTGGAATGTATTTTTAAGTTAAACTGGATTTATTTGTGGCTGAAATAACTTTTATTTTATGTCCAGAAGCCTCTAAAAAACTTCAAGAATCCACATTGACATCACTGAACACCACATTTTCTATAGAAGACTCTTAAAAATATATTTAGTTCTTACTCTGGTAAGCATCATTGCTCTCCAGGTTAAGGAGACAGCCAAAACCCTGTTTGCCAGGAACTATTATTTGCTAACATTAAAAAGAAATGGTATTTTTGTCACTGCCACCACATTGCTGGGCTCTGAGCTTTCCAAAATGGGGCAACACCCTCCCCATCTGCAGTGGGATTTGGTTCAGAGAAACAAAATTCAGAGTTTTCATCCCCTCCAAATCAGCTGATTTCCTATTTTAGAACCAACTCATTCCAGCCAAACCTGATCACTGAGAGAAAACTCCTGAATTTCTTCTGTTGAGCTGAGCTTGTTGCCTGCATAGAATCCAAGAATTAGGGAAAAATGAGAGACATTAGATTTATATTTCAATTTTTAGGGATCTTTCCAGCCCAATGTGTGACATAAAAAAACCTCACCAGTTATCTCCAAGCTCTGTAATGAACGCCATGATTTTTTCTGGTTTCCAACCATTTCCTCTCAGAAGTAATAATGGAAATCTTCAATATTCCAGGAGTTTTAAGTCAAAGCTTTCCTGTTTGCAGCTTTTTTTGTTGTTACCACAGCTACACATGCACATAAACCTTTGTTAAGTGTGCAGATTCAGTGGGATGCAGATATTTTGGAGAGGAAGAGCAGCTCCTTGTGAGTATATCCTGGACTCGTGCTCCCTCTGCAGAAAATCAGGGGCATTTTCCATCTTTTTTGTTCAGTAAAGTGAGTTTTAAATTCAATCCTGTGGTCAAGAACATTGAAGCAAGTTGACACAGCCCTGGGGTGCGAAACCTGATCAGTGCCTTGTAAGAAAGAATTTTTCCACATGGAAAACACAAATCCTGAGAGATTTAAGATGTTAGGAAGGAATTCTTGCCTGTGAGGGGTGGTAAAACCCAGAGAAGCTGTGGCTCAGGATGTCCTAAAGTTCACCTTGTGTAGCAATGACTTCCACAGATTATTTTCCTCCCTTTCAGTTTATTCTCTCCTAGCAGAAAAAAGGGAATCATTTTCAGGGAGTTTCCCAGCTCATTCTTCTCCCCCTCATCCCACCCCATCTCTTTGCCAAAATATAAAAGTTAAATCACACTAAACCACCCAGAACTGCCTCAAAACCCCCCAAAAAAGGCAGAACCCAAAGCAGAACCCAGATAAAAAGTCCTCTGTCAGGGTTTATTTTAAACACCTGTATTTTTCACAGCTTTCACAACTCTCTTCAACCATGCAAAAACAGCTGATTTTATCAGACTTGTCTCAGGCACAAACGTTTTTTGTAGTTAATGAATAATTAGCTCTGAGCTTCTACTTTGACCAATATCTGGATGTTCTACACGACAGGGGTCAATCAAAGACAAAAAATAACCATTTTTTATTAGCACAAAATAGAACACAAAAATAAATGTGCCTTTTAAGGCTCCACATAAGAGACAACAAAAGCTCCAGCAGGTAAATTTCCTGAAATTCTGATCCAATTCCCACCCCACCACAACTCTTAGGAAAACTTTCTGCAGTAAGGCTGTGAAAGAATGCAGCTTAGTAAAGAATTTCCCAAAGCTTTGTGCCATATAAACAACAGGAATTCTTTCACTGATCCCTTCTCCCACAGCTGATTTTTTTTAGATTCTATCTTATCTCAAAGAGAAGACTTGAGAAATTCAGCAATGGCCACAGGCCAGCAGAAAAAAGCTCACACCTCTCCTTTGGGAAGGAAAAGCTGCCAGTTTCTCCTGGGAAAACTCCTTCCTACTATTTTCATCACAATCAGAAAAAGGTTAAATGTCATTGACATACTTAAATATTTTTTAATAACAATTGCAGGTTAAAATTTGTGACAGGTGTTTTTTTTTATCGCTTGGAACTCCTCAGGTAGATCTTGGGGGTTTGCCACCCTGCAGGAGCACTTTTCAAGCCAGCTCTTTTCCAGATGCGCTCCAAATCTTTCTCAAATTTTATCTAAAAGAGGAAAAAAAAAAAAGAAAAAATGGTAACACAGCTTAGAAATAGCAGCCACTGCCCACGTGTCCCAAGAACGGTGTAGGTGTAACACACACAAAGGAAACAAAGGTTTTAGGTATCAAAATATTGAATTTTACTGCAGAAAATACATCAGAAGACATTAAAATGCACAGGGATTTTGGCAGTATCATTTTACAAGTCCTGTGCAAGGAAAACTGAGAAGGTGGACAAAGAAATGGTAAGGGAAATAAGAGGATTTCACCTTTCAGAGTTCACTGCAAATCAGAAGCTGTGGAATTACAATTAACCCTAATTTGCATCTGGGCAATGTGAGAATTCCTAGAGAATTAACTAAATTAATCCCAAGAAAAGCAATGCTGAAGGAGAATATCCCCAGCTTGAACAAAGCCCCATGTCTTCCCTCACATCTTCTATTAAAGGAAATAAAAGGCTTCTAGATTAAAAAAATAGAATAAGAAGCACGTGAGGATGTTGGCATGGGAGAAATTAAGATTAAAGGAGTCTCCCTGATCCAGGGTAGACACATGAATTCATCCTTCACGCAAATAGTACGTTCATCTCCATTAATCACACATATTTATAAAATGGAAGAAAAATTAAGCCCAGCAATGATCACATTTATATTTGGAATCACAGAATCACTGAGGCTGGGGAAGATCTCTGCGATCAGTAAGTCCAGCTGTGACTGTCCCCACATCTAGGAATTCCTTGGACACCTCCAGGGATGGAAACTCCAAACCTCCCTGGGCAGTTCCAATGCCTGGACACCCTTTCCATGGAGACATTCCTGCTGGTGCCCAACCTGACCCTCCCCTGGCACAGCTTCAGGCTAAATGCTGAGTTCATTCAAGCTCATTTTTCCTTAAATCCACTTAAATCCATCACCCAACCCCTACCCAGAGGCTGGTTGGAAGCGTGGGCACATTTCTGTCGGGAAACTCCCCCTCCCCTGAGCTCACCTGACGCTTCTTCTTGCGCCCCTCCTTGATCCTCCTGCGGATGAACTTCCTCCTCTTGAGCAGCTTCTTGTACTTGTGCCTGTTCATTTTCCTCCTGCGGATCTTCAGCACGTTCCTGCACTGCACTCGGTCACCCAGAGCTCCCTCTCCTTCCTCCACATCCCCTGTCCCAGCAGCAGGGGGACACTCAGAGGGCTGTGGGCTTTCATGGCTGGCTTCTTCCTCAGCCCCCTCAGCTTTGGGGAGGGAGTACCTGACTGTCAGCCAGCTCTCCAAGGGGCTGATGGAGAGTTTCCTGGGAATGAGGATCTCCTCCAGCTCAGGATCCAGCGTGTGCCACTGCTGGGGCTGCGCCCCGCTGGTGTTGGGGGGCTGGGTGCTGTAGCGTGCGCACGGAGAGCGGCAGCAGAGGAAGGAGGACACGGACCTGGGCAAGAGGTGGCCTTTGGGAGAAAGGGCTTGCACTTAAAAAGGCAGAATTTTCCAGAGAAAAGCTCTTGCCCAGCTCTCAAACTGCCAGACAGCTCTGGCCAGAGCAAGCTAATAAAGGGAAACACTCACAGAACTTGTATCGACAACAGAAAAGCGAGGAGGGATTTTCAGTTTTCACTTTTAACTACAACACTGTCATGTTAAAAATATATTATTCTTTACTGGGTAAGCTGCCCAAATCATCCAGGCAGAGCAGGGTGGAGGGTGAAAGGGTTGGAATTCCATGGTCTTTAAGGTCCCTTCCAACCCAAAACCTTTCCATGATTCCATTCAGAGGAACGTTCTTGTGTTTTCTGATGGAAAATCAATTTGGAATGGTAAGGAAGTGTTTGCTGTATCAAACCTCTCTGCTGCTGAGGAATCTTCTCCTAAGGTTAAAAGCCTTAGACCAAAGCCACACCATACTTACACAATAAATCAGAGACATAAAAACATTTGACAACCAGTGACTCAACAACCACCTCCTCTCTCCTGCACTGCTTGGTGGAAAAGAACTTTCTAGGAACCCAATCACCCCAGGAAAATAAACTCAAACAAACAGAAAACTTGGTCACACAATACCAATTTACCTGCAATTCTTGAAGCCTTCAGCAACTGGGAACTCAGCCTTGATATTAACATTTTGTATCTCTTTGTTCACTGGCAGAGCCAGCAATGACTGTTCAAATAAGAACATTTATTCAGTAATGCAAACATGCAGGTTTAAAAAAATCTTCCTTATTTAGCCTCACATCCCCGAAAGACAGGCTGACACCCTAACCATCCTCCTGGTTTTACCCTCAGTCTGTCGGGCTCTGCTGTGGGGGTCAAGCACAGGGGCTTGACTGTTCAAATAAGAACATTTATTCACTAATGCAGACATGCAGCTTTAAAAAACCTTCCCTATTCAGCACCACAGCCCCAAGAGATGGGCTGAGACCCTAACCATCCTCCTGGTTTTACCCTCAGTCTGTCGGGGTCGAGCACAGGGGCAGCTGAGCCGCCGAGGCGATTTATTAATAAAGCTTGGGCTGTTTTAACTTTAAAAGCACGGCAATTCTAGCCGAGCTCCGTGGCGCAGCCCCGCTCCTCCCTAAGGCCGGCGGCAGCAGCCCGCGGCCCAAGCACGGGCGGTCGCCGAGGGGCCGCCTCCTTCCCCTCAGCCCTGCCGGCCCGGCCGGGGTCCGCGCGCAGCCCCCGAGCCGCCGCCCCCGCCCTCCCCTCACGGCCCCGCCGCCGCCGCCGCCATCACCCACCGGCCCCGCCGCCACCGGAACTTCCGGCGGCGCGCGGCGCCCCCGGCGGCGCGCGCGGTAACGGCCGCGGGGACGGCCAGGGTCCCGCGGGGACGGCCAGGGTCCCGCGGGGACAGCCAGAGTCCCGCGGGGACGGCCAGGGTCCCGCAGGGACAGCCAGGGTCCCGCGGGGACAGCCAGAGTCCCGCGGGGACGGCCAGAGTCCCGCAGGGACAGCCAGGGTCCCGCGGGGACGCCCAGGGTCCCGCGGGGACAGTCAGAGTCCCGCGGGGACGGTCAGAGTCCCTCAGGGACAGTCAGAGTCCCTCGGGGACGGCCAGAGTCCCTCAGGGTCCCTCAGGGACGGCCAGAGTCCCACGGGGACGGTCAGGGTCCCGCGGGGACAGTCAGGGTCCCATGGGGACGGTCAGGGTCCCTGAGGGACGGTCAGGGTCCCTCAGGGACGGTCAGGGTCCCGCGGGGACGGTCAGGGTCCCTCAGGGACGGTCAGGGTCCCTCAGGGACGGTCAGGGTCCCATGGGGACGGTCAGGGTCCCTCAGGGACGGCCAGGGTCCCATGGGGACGGTCAGGGTCCCTCAGGGACGGTCAGGGTCCCTCAGGGACGGTCAGGGTCCCTCAGGGACGGTCAGGGTCCCGCGGGGACGGTCAGGGTCCCTCAGGGTGCCAGGCTCAGCCCCTCACGGGTCCTTGTGGTCCTTCATGGTCCCTCATGAGCCTCTGTGGCCCTTCATGCTCCCTCACAGGTCCTTATGGTCCCTCACAGCTGTTCAGGGCTCCGCAAGGTGCCAGGCTCGGTCCCTCATGGGTCCTTATGGCCCTTCATGGTCCCTCACGGCTCTTTATGGCCCTTCATGGTCCCTCACAACCCCATGTTATTGGTAACCTGTGATTCTGTGAAGGATTTTGTGATTCCCTGAAGGGCTCTGTGATTCCCTAAAGGATTCCCTGAAGGACTCTGTGATTCCCTGAAGGGCTCTGTGATTCCCTAAAGGATTCCCTGAAGGATTCTGTGATTCTCTGAAGGGTTCTGTGATACCCTTTGGGCTCTGTGGTGCTGTTACAGTGAGCCTGTCCCTGTTGATGCAGGGATCACCAAGGCACAGCCACCTCTCCCTGCCACACCCAGCTCTGTATCCGGGGGCAGGTCCCGGTGGCAGGTCCAGGGACAGCCACACCTGTCCTCTCGCCTTACCTGGCTGTTGTTTTGTCTTCTCCTGCTCGGCACAGGAACCCTCTTGGCACAGCATGAAAGTGCCTAATCAGCTGGCATGAGGGAGGGATGTTGAAGCCAATCCCAGACTTCAAAGAGCTTTTTGCTTTTGTACCTACCTCAGCCAGAACACAAGAGATTTATTCACCAGCTGCTTGTAGTATTTCAGATCAGAACAAGGGTCTGTCTCTGGTTTGGGCACGCCCCACTGTGTCAAACCCAACTACCCTGAAAGGTTAATGTGGGTTAGAGTTTCTTCCTGAAAATTAGGAGTAAAGTTCCCTTGTCGGGAAAGACAAACCTATGGAGGAGAAATTAAATGAAGTAAACAGTTCGCTAAACAGACTGTTTATTTAATCAAGACTTTATTGAAGACATTTCAGAAGTTTATGTACAAAACAACATTCCCACCCCCATATCAGGCTGTTAGTCACCCACTGGGAACAAAGCAAGTGCCTGGTGTACACTGGCAACCTGGGCACACTCAGAGTTTGCCACAGAATTCACAGAAGTACCAAATTCCCTTGGTTTAGAGCTGAGCCTTGGCTCAGTTAAGAACAAAGGAAATCAAAGGAGTTTTTTTCTGGAATTAACTAAGCATACTGGAACCTGACAGCCTACACTGGCCTTACTCTGAGCTCGGGTAATTTAATTCTGCTAAGAGCCAGAAGCCCACTTTGGGTTTGGAAGTGGAAAGGAAGCAGCAGCCCCTGGATGTAACTTGCAGGTTTGAATCCATCTCAGAGGGCTCCAGGAGATGCCCATCACCGAAAGCACAGTAGTGTTTGCAGGGAGCATTAGAGCAGAGCAGTAGCAATACCAAGTGAAAGACTCAGCCCCTTTGCTTTCCAAATACACCTAGAGAGAGGCTGAGTGTCAGACTGGCTATTTCAACAAGCGTGTAAAATAAAAACCAAAACCCTAGAGACACAGACAGGAGTGGCAAGGTTAAATTGTGACTGACGAGCTGTTCCTGGAGAGTTCTGTGCACTTCTACCACGGCAGAGTTTCCCCTTGCCAGTCCAGGAAAGATCCATTTTCTTTTTCACCGAGACGGTCCAGAACGGAGAGAATACCTGGGATAGCCTCCTGCACCTGCATGGGAGCCTGGAATGAATCAAGCTTAGGTCAATATCCTTCAGAAGAGAATTAAATGTATTTAAGGATGATCTGGAATGAAGGGGATGTATTTTTGTGTGTCACAGCACACGGAGGTCACGTTTCCAGCGCTGGCACTCACCATGTTTCCACCCATGTCTGTTTGAAGCCAGCCTGGGTGCAGGGAAATGCAGAGAATTCCGTCTGATTTCAGGTCTGCAGCGAGACACCGGGTGATCATGTTCAGTGCAGTCTGCGGGAGTGGAAACCATCAATTAATAATAAACAATAATAATTAATAATAAACAAATAAACAGCCCCTTGTTGTTTATATGCCTCGAGCACCACCTCAAGCCCAGCTGGTGGGCACCTCCCACCCTGCTGCCACAGCAAGGGGCAGGAAGAGGCTCTCAGTAATTCATCCAGACATTCTGGGAACTCTGAAGGCTCTACCACCACAAACTTAGTGCCCAAAAACGAAACTGAGTTGTAATGGAAGATAAAGTAGCATTTGAAATGCCTCAGGAGCTGTGAGGAGAATAATATTGACATAAGGACTGTGTTTTTCTGCACTAATCACTACACAAACATTCATTTACTTCTGAACAGGGAAAACAAGCATTTAACAGCTTATGAGTAGGTGGTGTAGGAGAAACTGTATGTGTGATCCTGACTATCTGTACAAACTCAATCTCTGGGTGTGGGAAAACTAAAAATCCCACCTGTCACGAAGTGACATCCCCACGTACAGGTCAGCACACCTTTTGCTGAGCTTCCTGCCTGCTCTCTCTTGGACAGGAGTGGAACACAGCTGATGGAACCCACACGCGATGGCATCAGCTCTTCCCTGAATGCCAAATCCCTCAGGAGTGGATCTGTCTCAGGGCAGGGATTTGGGAGCCTGTTCTCCAGAAGCTGCTCCAGGTGCAGTGTTCCACAGCTCCCATTCCCACCCAAGTGAAGAACAAGAACACTTTTTGTGTCCACAGAGCTGCTGCACCCCTTCCTAAGGTCAGCATGGTCTCTACCTTCCCTCAGCCAGGATCACAGCCCAGGGGAGGGAGCCCACAAACCTTTGCTATCCTGTAGGGATAGACCTTGAGGAACATCTCGTTGGCCTGGACGAGCTGCATGGAGGCAGCCAGAGAGGACATGTTGATGATGGCAGCTCTGTGACAGCCCATGCCAGTGCCCAGCTGTGCTGCCTTCCTCAGCAGCGGGAGGAACGCCTGTGAAAAACAGAGTTTGCTTTCATTTGGTGATTTGGATTGGAGCTGCATCATTCCCTCCTTCAAAGCAGGAATCCCAGGAATCTGTGCCACCACGGCGCAGCACGGCGTGGTGATGGCTCCTCACACCCAGTGGGCAGAGGAGACCTTCCTCCAGCAGCCTCTTCTGCCCACCTCCTGTCCCCACCTGCCACGAAGTGACCCCACACCAGGTGCACAGGCAGCAGCTCCCTGTCAGAATTGTCCCTGTGCATCTCCAAGGGGATGAACACCTGGACAAGTCCAGCTCACTTGTGCAAAAGCCCCAGACTGAGCCCATCCCTGCCTGTCCTCACCTTGGTGACCATCAGCTGGGCCACGGTGTTGGTTTCATAAATGGTGAGCATGGTCTCTGCCGTGACCTCCTCCAGCGAGGCGAGCACGTTGATGCCAGCGTTGTTGATGAGGCAGTTCAGCCCTTTGTCTCCCACAATTTCTTCCACTTCCTTGACCACTTTCTTGATGCTGTTCTCACAGACCACATCTGCGCAGAGGAGGCAGGAGGAGCCCCGGTGAGCAGAGCAGGGAGGGCCTGGCACGAGACAACCCGTGCCAAACCAAAGCTGAGGCTCCACAGGGACGTTTGGGCAGCACACAGGTGAGAATGCACAGATTTCACAGAATTACATTTCCCCAGTGTTCTCTTAGGATGGTTTTCAGCTGCTGGAGATCGTGTCCAGCTACTGATCACTCAGGAGACCAATTGTTTTAAGATGCATTCACCTGAGCTGCAGAAATTTCAGAAATAAAGCCCTTTACTCACCCAGCTGCAGGAGCTTGATGTTGCTGTATTGCTTGCTAAGCTGCTGCAGTTCCTAGGAAGAAGAATTATTTTTATTTTATATATATATATGTGTATATCTCCATGGCTGTTACAGGAATCACTTTGAATTCTGCACCTCCAGAATTGCAACTGAAATATTTTCATGATTGGACTGAAGGCAGAGATTCTCTTTTTTTTTCCAGCTTGCTGAGCAGCTTTCCTAAAAGCCAGATCAGGAAATGGGACTCTTCCCCTGCTTAGTCCAGATTCCAGTGTGCTGGATTTTTAGGGGGATATTTCTCAGCTTTAGTGCTCAGTTCTCAGCATTCCAGTAAAAATCCAGTGCCTCCCCAATTCTGTAAAAAGAGGGAAATTCTCCTGAAGCTCAGCTAGAGCTGGACACCCCTTCAGGGCAACAGGAACGCTTTTAAAAAGCCATTTGAAATTCCTGTTTGCAGGAAAATTTCCCCAGCAGTTTCCCTATGGGAATTTCGTTTTCCCAGCAGCCTCGTTAGCGTCAGTTCTTGTAAGTGGAGGTGAAGCCCACCAAGAAATTGGTCTGAGGCACAGCCACTGTCCAGGAAAACAATTCCCTCCCTGCTGGAGCTCACTCATCTGCCTGTCAGCACGGCAGGCTGGTGCTGCTGCAGAAATCCGTGCTCTGTCTGTTCTGGCTGCACAAAGCCTGTCCAAATTGGATTTATGGGCCCAGCTGGAATACTCTGCTTTCTGTGCCATGAAGCCAAGTGGGAAGCGTGGCCAAAGACAACAGATGGATTCCATATTCCCAGTCATGTTCAGGAGACACAGCAACCTGGCCAAACATTCCAGCCCCGGCAAATCCCTTTCTTTAGGAGCCCTTTGGGAATAGGGGTCAGGAGGGCAGGGTTGGAAAGAATCCTTCTCTGCCCCTTGGAGACACTTTCGGGACTCGGTGTCCTCTGACAAACCATAATGGATCACATCTTTTATCTCACATCAGACCCTGCAGGGTTCTCTCCAGGCTTGTTTGGGAGATTTGTTCTCCCACCCAGGCCAATCTACAACTGCAGTTAAGGGGAGAGGGAAGGAAAAACAAGCCAGCAGCACAAAACCAGAAGACATTCCTTGCTTTGGACAGGGCTCGGTGGGACAGATTTCCATCAATTAAAGGCCCAGAACACACTGTCTTGTATATTGATGAAATAGCTCTGCCATGTCAAGGCCTGCAGTGATTCTGTGCCTTTGGATTGTCACTGGATTTCAGTGTGACAGTATCACTCAGAGCACAATAAACTCCAGGAGTGCTCTGGCTTCTCCAGGTTTGTCCATTTATTTATAGTTCATTTATTTATGTGCTTTACTCTCCGACAGAAAAGAGCTACCAGCTCCTGCTGAAAGGCAAGAGCTGCTCCGAGCAGCAGCAGCAACTGAGAAGCTTCTGAAATGAGCAATATTTTCAATTAAGAACTGAAGCATTCTCCAGTCCATAGCATGAAATTACAATAGCTGCATGCAAATTAGGTTTAAAATTCAATGGGTTTTCTAGTTAATTACTTAGTTAACAAGTGACTCCCACTTCAGGGGTTTAAATTTCTGAGAAGCAGCTCCCAGGCACAAGGCTGATCTAGACAGCTTTGGTCTTCAAGAATGTTACACCTGATATAAGCTGAAAAATCCAGTTAGAACATCTAAAAGTTGCAGGAAAGCCTATTTTCCCCCTCCTGTGACTAGGAGGAAAATGAGAAAAGGAGGACTGAGACACATCGGTACAGCCAACATATCCCAGCTAAGGCATTTTTAATTAGTGTGCTGTGACAGATAATTTAAAAACAAACAAGACAAAACCCAACAAAAAGCCACAATCCAGCTCCCTAAAACTGTGTTTATTTAGCATGGTAGCTGTAGAACTGCTCTGCACCTGAACAATCACCCCTGAGAATCAACTCGTGGGGAGTCCAAGACGAGAATTAAACTCTGATTAGCATCTGTTGTTTCCTGCTTGCTGACTTTTAATTACGATTAACAAAGAGTCAGCCTATTCTGATTTAAACAAGATCCTCTGGCACTCGGGGCTCCAGAGGCAGACTCAGCAGCACACAGGGTATTTATTGCTAGATTTCAAGCAGGAATGTTTTGTTGTCTTTGTCATTTAGCAAGATTTACTTTGCCTTCTTCGTGAAAGCATTATCCACTTCAGTTACAGCTCTTGGAAAGGGCCTGGCCCCACTCTGCCAGTTGGAAGCAATCAAGCCCAGCAAACACAGCCTGTGGGCAGGATAAAGGTGCTTGGGTATCCTTCACCTCATCCTGCTTGCACTCGGGACAAAGCCAGAGGTGTATCCTATTTTTGTGCGTCCCCCTGAGACAGCTTTTCAGTATCACAGTGTACAGCCAGCTCACTGTTCAACCCTGGAACAGCTTCCACAGCACTGCCCTGACCCACAGCCCTCTCTGACTCCAGAAAAAAACAGACCTCGCTGCTGTAGGAAGTGTAAAACACTTCCAGAAAAAAAAAAAAATCAAATAAAACGACTCTGCAATAACCCAAAATTAGAAAGGCTTCAAGAATGCCCTCCCTGCCTGATATATATATATATATATATATATATATATATATATATATATTCAGAAATGCCTCCTTTGCCTGATATATCTGGTGCACAGATCACTCAGCTGCTCTTCCCAGTTGCAAACCACATGGCTAAAATATGTGTTAAAGGGAAAAACAAGCCCCAAACCTGACAGAGACAGTGAGCAGAGAGCTGACAAGGGAACAGGCACAGCTTGTAACCCAATCTCCTGCTGCAGAGCGAGGGGAAAATGCACATTTAGCCCTGGAAGCTTCCCAGAGCTCTGCAGAGTGAGGGATTCGTTCACCTGGGGACTCGCTGGGGCTCGGGGAGAGCAGGAGATGCTCCTGTGCACATCCCACAGCTCTGGGCACTTTTAAATTTATTTATTCACCCCACGGCCATCTCCTCCTCCCCCCATCCCACGGGGGACCCCAGTGCAGTCCTTTAGGGCAGAGTTTTCCCTTTTATGGGAAAGCAGGATGGGGGAGGAAGGAGCAAAGAAGGAAAAGAGGAGTGTGGGGAGAATTCCAGCTTGCGCTGGCTCCCTGGTAACGACAGCGCTGGGGTTGTGCCCATGTGGAGAGCAAAAGCAGCACATCGGGATTATTTCCCAGCAGATTTGTAGCTGCTCCCACTGCCAGCAGCCCAGGAAAAGGCAGGCTGGGATCAGAGCGTGGCTGGAGGAGTCTCCGGTGGTGCTTTTCCAGCAGGGGCAGTGGTTATCTGGCTGTCTGCTATCGTGTGATCTGCAGCCCATTTGTTAGGCAAATGTTCTGGGGAGGCCACCTAGGAGCTGCTCAGCCCCAGAGCTGGAGTTTTCACAACTTCTGCCAGCACAGACTCACATGCAAAAGCCTGCAGCTGTTCGGCATTACCCCAAGGTTAGGGAGTTACAGGAGATGTGCTGCTTTTCCCGGTGAAGAGAGGAAAGCGAAGCCAGAATTCCCCAGCATCTCTGGAAAAGCAGGTCCTTAGGAGCTCTTCTCTGTCCACTGCTTGAAGGGCTTCAAAATACTCAGTCACCACTCTGCTGAGAGATTCTTGCCCAAGGTGGAACTGTGTTTGCCAGGAGCTAAGCATATTTAATCGCTTTTCCTCTAAAAACTGGAAGATTCTTTTTAAAAGCCTTTTCATTTAAGCTCTGCCCATCTCCATTCTGCCACGGGAAAATGCTGCTCTGCCAAACCAGAGGAGAGCAGAATTTATAGGAACCGTCCAAAGCTGCTGTTCTCCGGGTTCATCCTCTCATGCAGGAGAGGAAGTGGGGGACAGTTGTACCAAGGAGGATTTTTTTGTGTGGTCAACAAAAAGCCAAGGGGGAAAACCAGAATTGGACCACCTGAATTGCTGCCAAGAGAAAAAGCACTGACCCGGGTGTGCAGAGAAAGAAAAACTCCCTCAACTTCACAGCCCACAAACAGATCTGAGATGGGCCAAGCCCATTTCATGTGCCCAAAATTGAGCCTGCAGTGCCAATCCCTGGAGAGCAGGACCCAAAACTCTGGGAGTTCAACATGAACCTGAGCGTTCGAAATTTGACTGGAAACTCAGCGACAACAAAGGCTCCTCTCTGAGAAAGAAAGAAAAAATAATAAAAATGACAAGAAAATCACGGAACCTTTGCCTTTCCTGCCACGCTCAGCAGCAGTGCCAGGCTGGAGCCGAGCTTTGGGAGCAGCAGCTGAATTTGGTGCTGCCATGACCAAGATTCCCAGTGCTGGAGGCTGGAGCAGGTCTGTTCTTGCCCTCTGCCAGCCCCAAGGACCAGTGGGAACACTCTCAGAGGGTCAGAAAGTTTTGTGCCAGCTCCGTGCATTGCAGATGGGGCAGATAATGCTGGTGAAACCACTACAATACCTTTAGCAAAGAATTCTCTTCCTCGTGGAGTTTCCAAAGCCATCTGTTAGAAATCTGCTTTCAGCTGACTGCAGAGGTTTCTATTGATGTCCTGCCAAAGCACAGCACATGGCCTAGAGGTCCTTACAAAGAACAAAAACCCACCCTGATCCACCAAGGACAAAAATTGCCCCCCTAAAAAATAATAATAAAAAAAAAAGCTCAGGATGCACCCCACGTGGCCGGCAGGATCCCCAGTGGGGTTGCTGGAATGTGGCTCCTGGCCAGTTCCTTACCCTGCCAGAGGCTTTCCAGGTTTCTCCCACCAGCAAGGAGTGACCCAGACTCTTCCCAGACACATTGCACTGTCTGGAGGCTCTTTCATCTTCCTCTGCAGCTTTGCAGCCTTTTTGCTCCAGATTTTTAAATACTGACCACACAAAAATACCCCCAAAAAACAAACCAAACCCAAACTGACGAGTTGTGCTGAGATTTGCCCGTGTAATGTTTCCTAAGAAGTTCTTCCTGTTGAACCATTTCACTTCTCCGTGTAATGGATCTGAGACCATTATGATGAAAAAATCACAGGGGCCAGTCGGTGGAAAAGAGAAAAAAACCTCTTTGAGCAGTGGCTGAAGCAGCTTTAGGACAAACAACACGCAGGGAGATTTTGATCTACACAGGTCGGATGTCTCTGCTGCTTTCCTGTGCCACTACTACACCGGGCTCTTGTGCAATCACTGGTAGGAAACAGGGCTGGGAGCGGTGCCAGGAGTTCAGAGGGAACAGGATGGAATGAATTTCTGCTCAGGTGCTGCCAGGAGGGGCTCGGGGGAGCCACAGGGAGCAGCAGCCCTGAAAGGGAGCTGTGCACCTGATCCCTGCCTTGCTGGGCTCTTTCATTCAGAAATACCCTAAATATGCTGGAGACTATTTTTTAAAAATTAAGATATTTCCCTTCGGTTTCATAAGGACCTGCAGAGGTCAGACTGCAGCTGTTACCTGTCCCACATCCTGAGCACCACCTTTTGGAGGATTTTTTTGTAGCTAAGCAGTAAACAAAGTTGCTGTGTTTGGTTTATTGCTGGGACGGCGCGATCACAATCTGTGCAGAAGGAACCAAATCCCCCAGAAGGAGCAGACACAGGGGCTCCGTTTCCCTCTGGAATTTGCCTTTTGCCCTGGGGGGATGCAGGAACGGCGCTGTGGGTATCAATTCTCCTTCCAAATGCCTGGGCCATTCCAGGGGGGTGCGGGGCAGTGGCAGGGCTGAGGGATTCCCAGAGCTCCGAAGGAGCAGGGGAGGGATGGATGGATGGAGGGATGGATGGATGGATGGATGGATGGATGGATGGATGGATGGATGGATGGATGGATGGGTTCCTGTGCTGCCCAAATCCCCCCTCACCGAGGAGAGCCGAGATCAGCCTGCACACACAACAGGTGACGCTGCTGACCACCCCAGCGATTTGTCTCCCGAAAGTTTGAGAGGTGTGCTAAATTTGATCCGTGAAATTTGAGTTTGAAAGGCTCCTATAAAAATCTTTGGGAGTCCCAGAACTACTGCGATGCTGCAGCAGCAGGGACTTGGGCTGAAATGGGAGAGAGAGAGAGGGCACCAAGCGGATCCACAAGTTGCAGGTATCAAAAACCCGTTTCCAACAGGAACTCTGAGCCCTGCCCAGCAGAGAGGGACCTCAGAGAAGTCTTTAATTCATTGCTCATTTG